CAGCAAAAGGTGGTGGAGGGCGGCCGCGGCCAAATGCAGCTCGTACTCCCCAAACCGCTGGCCGCAGTCCGCCGCAGCGTGGTAGAGACGGCTGAGGATCCACCGGTCCATGGGGGAGCTGGGGCAGACCTGGGGGGGATGGAGAGAACACAAGAGAGGGTTGTCTCCAGCCCTAGGTACAGAAATCTGGAGGGGGGGAGGGGAGTCGCTGCTGCCCCCCCTGTAATACCTCCCAAGCCCAGCAGATGGCACCATACAGACCCAATATTTCCCCACCTCCCAATATGCACCTAGTCTTCAACACACCCACGTTCACCCATTATACTGCCCACTGCAATACTGCGTGAGCCCAGCAGGAGGTGTCATTAAGCCCCGCCCTTAGAAATCTGGAGGGGGGGAGGGGAGTCGCTGCTGCCCCCCCTGTAATACCTCCCAAGCCCAGCAGATGGCACCATACAGACCCAATATTTCCCCACCTCCCAATATGCACCTAGTCTTCAACACACCCACGTTCACCCATTATACTGCCCACTGCAATACTGCGTGAGCCCAGCAGGAGGTGTCATTAAGCCCCGCCCTTATGCTGCCCCTGCAGTTCCACCCAGAGCCAGCAGAGGGACCCAATGAGACTCATGACTCCTTCCCACCCCCGAAACATCCCATTACCTCCTCCGGGCTCCGTGGGGCAAACCCCTCTCCCAGGGCCCCCAGGGTGAAGCGGACGGCGTTCCACACCTTGTTGCAGAAGTGCCGGGAGCTCAGGACCGCGCCCACGTCCAGGTTGAGGTCGTCTCCTGGGGGAGCAACGTAGAGAAGTGTGTGGGGGGGAAGGCCCCGATCCCCAGCCCTTAAGCCCTCCAGTCCCCCTGCTCTAGGGCCGGATCAGCGCCAGCGCCCCCTAGAGGCGCCCCTCTCACCTTGGACGCGATGGGAGCACAGTGCGAATCTCAAGGCGTCAGCGCCGCATTCGGGGATCCCCTGGGGGAAGTCGCGCCTCTGGAAGGGAAGGGTGAGGGGTTGAGGGAGGGGGGAGCTGAGAGAAGTGGGGCAGGACGAGGGGCCGTGAGGGGGAGGGGACAGACTCACCTGTCCCTCCGCAGCGATGGCCGCCTCCCGGGGGTCCACGTTCCCGTCTCGCAGCCTCCCCTGCAGCTCCTGCAACGAGGGGACAGCCAGATCAGGGGCAGGCGGGATGGGGCGGGGTGAGTTTTTGCAGGGTCTCTGCTGAGTGCAGGCCAGTTTGTTATTGTAGGGTCTTCCTGGAGGTGCCCGGAGGGAGCTGGCTTGTTACTATAGGGCTGCACAGAGGTGGTGTTGTTTGGGGGTATTTTGAATGGCAGAGTTTCGCTGAGGTGGCGGGGAGAGATAAGCAGGGGCCAGTTATTATAGGATCTCCAGAGGGGAGGGGGGCAGGATGCATGGCCCCATTAGTTATTGTAGGGTCTCTGGCGGAAGAGGGGGCAGGATGCATGACCCTGTTTGTTATTGTAGGGTCTTTGGAGGAAGAGGGGGCAGGATGCATGGCCCTGTTTGTTATTGTAGGGTCTCTGGGGGAAGAGGGGGCAGGATGCATAGCCCTGTTTGTTATTGTAGGGTCTCTGGGGGAAGAGGGGGCAGGATGCATGGCCCTGTTTGTTATTGTAGGGTCTCTGGGGGAAGTGGGGGGCAGGATGCATGGCCCTGTTTGTTATTGTAGGGTCTCTGGGGGAAGTGGGGGGCAGGATGCATGGCCCTGTTTGTTATTGTAGGGTCTCTGGGGGAAGTGGGGGGCAGGATGCATGGCCCTGTTTGTTATTGTAGGGTCTCTGGGGGAAGTGGGGGGCAGGATGCATGGCCCTGTTTGTTATTGTAGGGTCTCTGGGGGAAGTGGGGGGCAGGATGCATGGCCCTGTTTGTTATTGTAGGGTCTCTGGGGGAAGTGGGGGGCAGGATGCATGGCCCTGTTTGTTATTGTAGGGTCTCTGGGGGAAGTGGGGGGCAGGATGCATGGCCCTGTTTGTTATTGTAGGGTCTCTGGGGGAAGTGGGGGGCAGGATGCATGGCCCTGTTTGTTATTGTAGGGTCTCTGGGGGAAGTGGGGGGCAGGATGCATGGCCCTGTTTGTTATTGTAGGGTCTCTGGGGGAAGTGGGGGGCAGGATGCATGACCCCGTTTGTTATTGTAGGGTCTCTGGGGGACGAGGGGGGCAGGATGCATGGCCCCGTTTGTTATTGTAAGGTCTCTGGGGGAAGTGGGGGGCAGGATGCATGACCCCGTTTGTTATTGTAGGGTCTCTGGGGGAAGTGGGGGCAGGATGCATGGCCCCATTTGTTATTGTAGGGTGTCTTGAAGAGGGGAGGAGGGGATGTAGGGCCTGGTTTAGTATTTTAGGGTCTCTCTGGGGCTCTGCTGAGACGCTGCAGGGGCCAGTGTGTGGCTGTACGGTCTCCTGGGTAGGGAGGGGGGACGGTACCTGCAGGGAGGCCCCATGAATGACGTCCAGCGGGTCCACGACGTTCCCCAGCGATTTACTCATCTTGCGGCTGTGGGCATCGCGCACGAGGGAGTGCAGGAAAACCTGGAAGGAGAAAGAACCACAGGGAGCCCCTCGGTCCTGAACGGCAGCCCCCTGCTAGCCCAGCCCAGGACTCCCCCCAGCACCTCCTAGCCCTGCCCCCCACTTTCCGCTAGCCCAGCGTGGGACACCTCTCCCCCCTCACATACCTGGGAGAAGGGCAGCTCTCCGGTCAATTGCTCCCCCAGCATCACCATCCGGGCCACCCAGAAGAAGAGCAGATCGCTGCCCGTCTCTAAGAGGCTGTTGGGATAGAATTCCTGGAGGTCCCCAACCTGCGGGGGGTGGAGAAGGACACAGGAGTGAGCCAACCCTGAGTACAACAATGGGCCCATCTAGCCTGGTATCAGGCCACCTCACTTGATCAGAGTCATAGGCCCATCTAACTCGGCATCCCACTGCCTCCACAGATCAGCACCACTGGCCTATCTAACCTGGCATCCCGCCTCCTTCCAAGATCAGCACCATGGGCCCATCTAACCCGGCATCCTGCCACCTCCCTGGAAAGGTGCAATGGGTCCACCTAACCCGGCATCCCACCGCCTCCCCAGATCAGCACCATGAGCCCATCTAACTCGGCATCCTGCCACCTCCCTGGAAAGGTGCAATGGGTCCACCTAACCCGGCATCCCACCGCCTCCCCAGATCAGCACCATGAGCCCATCTAACCCGGCATCCTGCCACCTCCCCAGATCAAAGCCATGGGCCCATCTCGCCCGGCATCCTGCCTGTCCCCGTTGCTCTCTGTGTCACTCACCTTACGGGGCCATCCCAGTGCAGCGAAGGGGAAGAGAGCAGAAGAGAACCAAGTATCCAGCACATCGGCGTCTAGAGATGCAAACACAGAACATCAGCCAATGAGCTGCTTGGTAGGTTTGCAGAGGCAACACGCTGGGAACCCTACAGAAATAAACGACTTCTACACCGTATTGGTATTTTCCTTAATCTCTGTGTGGTCTCGTCCGTCTTCCTTAGTTTCCCCTAGGTCCGAAGCAGGTTGGGCCCACTACAGGACATAACGGCGGGGTTTCTTTGCCCTCAAAAGCTCCCCCAAAATTACAGGGCATTCCCCCTCATTCCAGAATGAAGACTCCTGAGGCCTGCTCTGAAGTAAGCCATGCATTCTGGGAAAACAGCCTTTGCAAATGGCTGAAATGTTGTGTATCCCACTTCTCCCACCAAAAGTAGGTTCTGAAAACAGGTGAAAAGCGGGTGCATAGGGAAGGGGTGAGACGCTCCGGGTCTTAGTCCCATTTGTCACTTGAGGCTTCACCATCCCCGTAAGAGTTATATCCTAGATGTTCCTTCTCTTTACCTCTCACCAGTTCCAGTTCCTCTTCCGGTTTTCTCAAAATCGCCGATGCTTTCCTGCGGGCTTCCGCCTCTGTCCTGCCAGCTACCCACAATGCATCACTCCCATCCTGGTCATAAATTCATGAAAAGTGATGAATGTAAGTTAGCGAAAGCGCCCCCTGCTGGGAGATATTGGGGCTGGTGTAGACAGGAACGCCCCTCTCTCCCCCACTGCCTCCCCCGCCAGCATCCCTGCCTCATGCCCCTGCTGGGGAGGGCTGGGGCTGGAATAGCCCCCCAGCCAATAACATTCCAGAAGCACACATCTCACCTTGCCTACGTCACATGACCCTGAGACAGAAACCTGATAGGCCGGAATCTGATGCCCCCACCACAGCTGCCGGGAGATGCACCAATCGCTACAATGAAGCCAACAAGGGGACCAATGAGGTTAAAGAAAACAATGCCAGTGCCTCAGGTGGCCACAAGGGGGCGACAGTGGATTGTCGACAGGCCTGTTGGTTATGGTAGGGTTGCGCCCAGAGATGGATCCCGGCTCCAGAAAGGGGAGGGGCAGAGCCGAGGAGGGAGGCCTCCTGGGTTCGAGTCCGGGTCTGGGAGAGGAGTGGGGTCTCTGGGTTATAGCAGGCAGGGCTGGGCGGCAGAACACCTAGGTCAGGGGCGCTCCGAAAGCGACAGTGGATTGTCGACAGGCCTGTTGGTTATGGTAGGGTTGCGCCCAGAGATGGATCCCGGCTCCAGAAAGGGGAGGGGCAGAGCCGAGGAGGGAGGCCTCCTGGGTTCGAGTCCGGGTCTGGGAGAGGAGTGGGGTCTCTGGGTTATAGCAGGCAGGGCTGGGCGGCAGAACACCTAGGTCAGGGGCGCTCCGAAAACGTGGGGTGGCTTCAGATTGTGGCCACCAACTCCTGCCGAT